CAAGGACAAGGAGCTCGGAAGGGAGGCAGTGTTACAGTGTGAACCTCAGCACAGTCTGTGTGTCACACGCCAAGGACAAGGAGCTCGGAAGGGAGGCAGTGCAGGTGTTACAGTGTGAACCTCGGCACAGTCTGTGTGTCACATGCTAAGGAGTTTGTTTTCAAATCTGCCGTTTGGGAGAAGAGGTTAGAGATGCAGTCCCATGACTAAAGCAGTGTTTTGGGACAGCCTCATGGTATTGAAAAGAAGTCCTGACCTTGCTGGGGAAGGAGCTAGGGCAGAGCTGACTGTGAAGAGGCCTGTGCCTCAAGGAGGGCAGTGACAGTGGAAGGCTCACAGGCCTTAGGATCTCAGCGGACTGGGTGTTCCTCCTGTGTAGGGTCTCTCCTCTCCCGTTGCTTTCATCTCTAAAGTGGAGCAGTAAATCCTGTGACATCAGGCTCTCCTCCTTGGGACTGAGCAGGGTGGACTGTGAAGCCACCCACATCCTCAGCAGTCGGCCTCCGTGGCTGAAGATGACCCACTGGGGACCACCACCACCCAACCCCACCTCCTGGCCAGCGACCTGCCTAAATGGGTGATGGACCAGTCAAGCCAGAGTTGATGAGCATGGTTCCCTCTCAGCCCAGTCCTGGCACCTTCCTCCTCTGCGGACAGAAGGCAGAACAATGGCTTTACTGTAGATGGAAAGTGTTGACTTTTGAGTCTCCCTGGGGCGTTTGTGGTAGAAATGTCTTACAGGAATGCCTCTTCTCGGAGAAGATTGGCCTGGCCATGGGGCTGAGCCATCAGCCATCTATGGTTCCACTGATCCTTTGGTCTTATCCTTGGCAAGCCCAGGGCAGTACTGTGGGTGGAGGACACGTTCATATGACAGGTCGCAGGCATAGCCTGGAGCGTGTCAGCCAATCCAGCAGCGTAACGTTTTGGGGGAACTAGAAAGCATTTCTTTCCACATATGTTTTTTGTTTTCCTTTAAAGACGTACTTTCTTTCCAAATTCAGATGCCTTGAACCTTTCAGATAGTCTCCATCTGGTAGAGAAAACGCTATGAAAGTTAGGGGAAGCCTGTGAAGTGGAGAAGCAGAGCAGGGCAGGAAGGGGAAGTGAGGCTGTTGAAAGGGGCAGTTGGGGGTCTACCACTGGTCCACAGGCTCTGGCCTGTGGGAGAACTGCACCTCTTCCGGAGTGGCCACTGGGATAATCCTCCAGAGGCTCCTGAGTGTCGAGGGTGAGGCCCGCGACTCTGTGCAGCCTCAAAAGGAAAGTGCTGAGACATCTGAGCCATCCTAGTGTGTCCAGCCGTGGAGAACTTTCTATAAACGGTTTCGATTTGACCCTCACACCAGGGCGATGATGACGCGTGCCTTTAAAATCCCAGCATTCGGGAAGCAGAAACAGGTGGATCTCTGTGAGTTCAAGGCCAGCCTGGGCTACATAGAGAAACCCTGTCTCAAAAAAACCCTCACACTAGAAACCTTTCTTAGTTCATGCCCTTCCCCACTTTCCACTGTTCTTAGCATGAACCCTGGACACCTTGTGTGTGTGCGTATTTCAGCTTGTGCTACTGGCCTCACTGCTCTTGGTATCGACCACACTCTGGCTACATGTTCTCCTTGGAACTTGCTTTCCCGAGGGTCCTTGTCCCCTTCTCTTGTCTCTGACACCGCTGAGCTCTGCTCCCAGCTGTGGCAGTTTCCTAACTCCAGCTCACGTGTTGTCTCTTAGGAGATGTTCACACCAGGGACCCCCGTAAAGTATCCATCACCCTGCAGTGGGGTCCTGCTGTTGAAACCACCACCAGCTCTTGCTCCATGAGTCCAACAGGTATCAAGTAGCCTTTCCCCTGCTTTCTTGGAGTTACTGGTGAGGCCCAGAACTGAGGGCACAAGCTATAGAGTGCTTCCCATTCCAAACACAGGGAACAGCAGGAGAGGGGCCAGAGTTGCCACTGGGAGAACCAGCTCTTCTCTGTTGAGAGAGACTCGGGGACAGTGCAGTGTCTGTGGTGACAGATCACAGCCCCCAACCCTCAGGCTGAGGGAAACTGGCTTCCTGAGTACTGTTCACAGGGACAGCCCCTGTGCAGGGTCTGTGCTATTGTGTGCCAGTCCACACTGCCCAAGCAGGAAACAGTTGTCCTGTGTGTGCTGTGTCACCCTACATGGTGGGTTCAGGCCTGCCAGAGCTACATATAGAGGCCCTGTCTCAAAACACAAATAAATAAGAATGACTTTAATCCCAGCACTCAGGAGGCAGAGGCAGGCAGATTTCTGAGTTCAAGCCCAGCCTGGCCTACAGAGCGAGTTCCAGGGCAGCCAGGGCTACACAATGAAACTGTGTCTTGGAAACAAACAAACAAAAAACAAAACAAAAAGAATGAATGAATAAATAAACAGTTTAATTCTTCAAGTGTGAGTCTAAGAGTCTGGTTTGTTTTTAACGAATTTCTCTCCTTCCTTACTTTCACATCTTAATGACTCATTGTATCGTGTGTAAATGTGATGAAAGGCTTGGGGGCCACACACCAGAACAGTCATGGTAGGAATCCTTCCATTGAAGAGAGCTAGGACTAAAATAATTATTTGAATAGTACTCACAAGTTTTGCTTTGTAATTTGGTCTATCTGTCATTTTGTGATTATTTATGTGGTTTTTATTTTTTTATGTGTATGAGTGGTGTGCCTGCATGTATATCTATGAACCATTTATGCCTTCAGATGCCCTGGAATTACAGATGGCTCTGAGTGCCATGTGGTTGCTAGGAATCCAGCCCCAGTCTTCTAGAAGATCTGCCAGTGCTCCCAACCTCTGAGCCATAGCTCCAGCCTGATTACGTGTTCTTTTATCATGTGATAAAGACATCCTGAGCCCATCTATTAAAAGACTTTAAATTTTACTTTCTGTTATGAGTGTTTTGCCTGCGTGTATTTATATGCACCATATGCATGCCTGTTGACCTCAGAGGTCAAAAGAAGGCATCAGATCCTCTGGAATTGCAAGGCAACTGAGCCCATTTTATAGATGCCTGGAGAAAGCCTCATGTGCCTGACCCTGGTATCATACAGTTCCCTGTGAGTGGGATGTGAAGGAGAAATGATTGGGTCCCTCTGGTTCCAGAGCGTTCCCTGGGCCTCTGGCTATGACAGTGGCACCCTGTGTTGCTCCCTCCTGAGGGAGGTCTTTGAACAGTACCGCCACCACTTTTGGAGTTTTCAGATTAATGTTCAACCTGAAGCCAGCTCTGCTAAACTCCTGTTCTATTTATAAACGTTTTTATTTCACTCAGGGGAAACAGGTCCTTGTCACCCAGAAAGAATGGACCTGTGGTGGGTGGCTCTGTAGGTTTTTAAACTGAGAACTGAAGTCTAGAGCTCAGATGTGGGAATCGGACATTGTGGCCCGGGGATGGTTGAGGGAAAGCAGGCGGAGGAGGGCTGCTGTTTTTAGAGACATGGACTAGGGCTTCCTCAGACCTGCCAGTTAGGCGGCAGGACTGGACCCGCTATAAGCAAGCTGTCCCGCTGGGACACATTAAAATCAATTTAATAAATCAATTTAATATGGTTATAGTGCTTGTAGCAATTTTGGGTTGTTTGTGGTGCCATGACCTCAGTCATGGCTAAGTATTGTGCCACTTAGCTACACCCTCAGCCCCAGAAAACCTTGTTTCAATTAATGATTAATATAAGGAAGCCCCTGTAAAGAGTTATCAATGGAGCTGAAGAGATGGCTTAGTGATTAAGAACACTTGCTGCTCTTTCAGAGCACGTGGTTTCAGTCCCAGCACCCTCATGGTGGCTCAAGCTGGCTGTAATTCCAGTTCCAGGGGATCCATTGCCCTTTTCTGGCATGCAGGTGAGCACTCATACACATAAAATAAAAAAGAATCAAGTCTTTTCCTTTTTTTTTTCTGAGATAGGCTTTCTCTGTGTAACAGCCCTGGCTGTCCTGGAACTAGCTCTTGTAGACCAGGCTGACCTCGAACTCACAGAGATCTGCCTGCCTCTGCCTCCCGAGTGCTGGGATTAAAGGAGTGTACCACCACACCTGGACCCTTTTCTAATAAGTGGAAGAAAATTCTGGACCACCAGGTTATGTTGATACACAGCTGTAATTTCACAACTCAGGAGGCTATGGCAGGATGGTCACAGCTTCAAGGTTAGTGTGTGCAACATAGTAAGACTGTCATTTTAAGGGGAAAAAATGTGCTGGGCGGTGATGGTGGACACCCATCACTTCGGAGGCAGAGGCAGAGGCAGACTGATCTGAGTTCAAGGCCAGCCTTGTGAGTTCAAAGTCTGCCAAGTGAGTTCCTGAATGGCCAGAGAAACCTCATTTGGAAGGGAAAAAAATGCTGTGAGGTCATCTCTAGAACTAGGGGAGGACCGGGGAGTTTAACTGGGAGGTGGAGCGGTTCTGGAGACAGTGGGATGCTGTGAGGTCATCTCTAGGACTAGGGGAGGACCGGGGAGTTTGACTGGGAGGTGGAGCGGTTCTGGAGACAGTGGGGTGGCACAACAGCATGAAGTCACCTGACACCACTAAAGTATCTTCTTTGTATTTTATGTGCATCGTTTGCCCGCATGTATGTCTGTGCACCACATGTATGCCTGATGCCTATGGAGGCCAGAAGTGGGGATCGGATTCCCTGGGAACAGAATTACAGATGGTTGTGAACCACCATGTTGGCCCTGGGCATTGAGCACAGGTTCTCTGGAAGAGCAGTTAGTCCTTAACCACTGAGCCATTGCTTCAGCCCTGAAGTGGTTAAAATGGAAGCTAAGGAGATGGTCCACTGCATAAGGTGTTTTGTGTGCAAGCACGAGGACTTAGTTCAGATCACCAGAACCCATGTAAAGCTGGACATGGAAGCATTTTCTGTCATTCTAGCCCTAATGCAGCTGTCAGGGGCTTGACTGGGAGGTGGGAGAACCCCTTAAGCTCACAGGAGCTAGTCCGGTGTATGCAGTAGTGAACAAGAGACCCTGTCTTAAACGAGATGGAAGCAAAGATCAACGTCCAAAGTTGTTTTCTGTTCTTCAACAAGTGTGCTGTCTGGTGTACTCACACACAAATATTTTAAAAATGGTTAAAATGATGTTTCACATATATTTACCACAGAGAGAGGAACATAAAATCAAGGTGTTTTCTTAGCTAGTCCCACACATTAGCATCTACATTATAGTTTTTCTGCCTGGTGATGGCACACCGAGTGATTACATACCAAATGATTATTATCATTTTATATACCCTGTATATAAAAGGAGGCCAGGGGACAGAGGTCATTTGAGCAACTCCAAGTTTTTTTGTTTTTTTTTTTCAAGAAAGGGTTTCTCTATAGCTTTAGAGTTGGTCTGGATCTTGCTCTGTAGACCAGGCTGGCCTTGAACTCACCAAGATCTGCCTGTCTCTGCCTCCCAAGTACTAGGATTAAAGATATGCACCACCACTGCCCTGCAAGCGACTCCAATTTTTAAAGCTTGCCTTGCTGGGCATGGTGGCCCATACCTTTAATCCCAGCACTAGGGAGGCAGAGGCAGGCGGATCTTTGTGAATTTGAGGGCAAGCTGATCTACAGAGAGAGGTCCAGGACAGTCAAGGCTATACACAAAGAAACCCTATCTGGAAAAAAAACAAAAGAAAATTCTTTTAATTCAGTAACATTGTCTTTTTCTGTTTATTTTCTAGTTGAATTTTCTAGATGCAAGACAAATCAGAGTGGTGTGGAAATTTCCTAAACTCACTGAAGCAGACCCCCATGGCGCTGATGGACAGTTCTACCGTCCGGATCAGAAAGGTCAGTCCAGTGTGCGTGAGTGAATGTGTCCGGGACAGCAGTCTTTTTGAAGCGTTAGGACAGCTCTTGTGCATGGTCTCTTAGTATATCTCACCCTTTGCTGTTCCCTCCGCTGCCCTCTCCTCTCCCTTATGATCTCTCCCTTTCCCCTCCTTTCCCTTCCTCTCTTTTGTTTTCTGGGCTTGAGGCCAAACCTTAGGCCCCATGCATACTAGACAGGAGCTGCATAACTGAGCTCCATCCTAGCCGTGCTTTGTTTTTTTAATTTTATGTGTATGAATATTATTGTTTTGGTTTTTCAAGACGGGGTTTCTCTTTAGAACCTGTTCTAGAACCAGCTCTTGTAGACCAGGCTGGCCTCAAACTCACAGAGCTCCACCTGCCTCTGCCTCCCGGGTGCTGGGATGAAAAGTGTGCACTAGCACACCTGTGTATTTTCTTTTCATGTATTTTATGTTCATAAATATGACCTGTATGTATTTATGTGTACCATGTGGTTCCTGGTGCCCACAGAGGTCAGAAGAGGGCACCAGCTCCCCTGAAACTGGAGTTATGGATGGTTGGGAGTCACGATGTGGGTGCTGGAAACCAAACCTAGGTCCTCTTCAGGAGCAATAAGTGCTCTCAACAGTTGAACCCTTTCTCCAGCCCCATATTTTTATTATTTTAAATTGTGTGTTTGTCTGTGCTTGGGTAGTCCATGTGAGTGCAGGTTCCTGTCCTCTGCAAATCAGTCCTTGCTCATACCTGCTGAGCCTTCTCTCCAAACTCTGTCTGTTTAAGGTAGAGTCTCACGATACTACTCAGTGTTGAACTTCCTGTGTAGCTCAGGCAGACTTGGAGCTCACAATCCTCCCGCCTCCCATCCCTCCGAAGTTCCGGTGTTTCGCACGTGTGCACTGCACTCTGTCTGCCCACCCACTTCTTTTCTGTGTGCCTGAGTCACGACAGCTGCCAGGTAGTGGGATAGCATCATCTCCAGCATTCTGCCTGGAGTTTACTTGGAGCCAGAGCGTCTAGTTTGAAACTGTCACCTTCCGTTTGTCCCTCCACACCTGTACTACAGAATTACACCCCAGGCCCCATTTCGTACCCTCCTGGTGACTTCCCCTGGAATTACCCTTCTGGAACTTAGCTTTTAAACTGGCAGAGGAAGGTCAGAGCTGCCTCTAGAGCTTCTCCATGACCAGGGATGCAGCTCAGAGGTGCAGTGCTGGCCTAGTCCCTGCTGTATGCTGAAGTCAGCATGCCCGTGCCCTCCAGACAGCTGGGCTGAGCCTGACCAACACCCAGGACTGAGAGGGAGCTCTGTCAGGCTGGGTCCCTTCGATCCTTATTTGTTTTCTGATAGCCTCTAGGCTACAATGGCCTAAGTAGATCTTCCCAAGTGGAAAGCTGTTTCTAGTAAGGTCAGGCTTTTTCATACATACATACATACATACATACATACATACATAAATCTTTTTTAAAAAGGCCTTCTGAAAGAGAAGTAAGCACTCCTAGCCATCCAGCCATCTCTCTGGCCCACAGAGTCAGGCTTTCAAAGCATTACTGGGAACCTGTCCCTGGCTTTTCATTATTTGGAACCCATGACCTGTTCTGTTAACGCATAAACTCTGTGAAAAGAAGTTGTTCTCCAGAGTTAGTGATGACTTCTCAGAGCAATTATTTATCTTCATAACCCTTTTAGAAAAATAAAAACGAAACCAAGTCCTTTAAAAGGTGAACTTTCAGTGCCTGTACTAAAATGGTTTTCAATCCTCCAGGGTGTGTGAGATGACTGACCGGTTGACAGAAAGTCCCCAAGGACGGGGCTGCAAGATTTAGCCTCTCTTAGTTCCCTTCCTGGCAGCCTGGAACCTGCCTCCCAGGTACCTCAGGCGCCATGGACTCCCCAGGGTACAACTGCTTTGTGGACAAGGACAAGATGGACGCGTCCATCCAGGACCTGGGGCCAAAGGAACTGAACTGCACTGAGCTTCAGGAGTTGAAGCAGCTGGCACGCCAGGGCTACTGGGCTCAGAGCCACGCCCTGCGGGGGAAAGTGTACCAGCGCCTGATCCGGGACATCCCCTGCCGCACGGTCACACCTGATGCCAGTGTGTACAGTGACATCGTGGGCAAGATTGTGGGCAAGCACAGCAGCAGTAGCCTGCCCTTGCCCGAGTTTGTGGACAACACTCAGGTGCCCACCTACTGCCTGAACACGCGGGGTGAGGGGGCTGTGCGCAAGATTCTGCTGTGTATCGCCAATCAGTTCCCCGACATCTCCTTCTGCCCTGCCCTGCCCGCCGTGGTGGCCCTGCTGCTGCACTACAGCATTGACGAGGCCGAGTGCTTCGAAAAGGCTTGCCGCATCCTGGCCTGCAACGACCCCAGCAAGAAGCTCATTGACCAGAGCTTCCTGGCCTTCGAGTCCTCCTGCATGACATTTGGGGACCTGGTGAACAAGTACTGCCAGGCGGCCCACAAACTGATGGTGGCTGTGTCAGAGGATGTGCTGCAGGTCTACTCTGACTGGCAGCGGTGGCTGTTCGGGGAGCTGCCCCTTAACTACTTTGCACGTGTCTTTGATGTCTTCCTTGTAGAAGGCTATAAGGTATTATACCGAGTCGCTCTGGCCATCCTCAAGTTCTTCCACAAGGTGAGAGCAGGCCAGCCCCTCGAATCAGACAACGTAAAGCAAGACATCCGCGTATTTGTCAAGGACATTGCCAAGACAGTGTCCCCTGAGAAGCTCCTAGAGAAGGCCTTTGCCATCCGCTTGTTTTCCCGCAAGGAGATCCAGCTCTTGCAAATGGCCAATGAGAAAGCACTAAAGCAGAAGGGCATCACTGTCAAGCAGAAGAGGTAGGTGGGCCCCAGGACCCTGTGCATCGCATGTGTGCTCATGCCTCCTGTTTGTAAGTTAAGTGTGTGAGTACATGTGTGTGCTGTGTGTATGTGTGAGCGTGCGTGTGTCTGTGCTGTGAGCATATTGCGTTTGTGGAGTGGGAAGCTTTAGTGGAATGCATCCTTGAGGTCTGAGCATGAGCTTGTCCAGCCAGCCGTTGGTCTGCTTCTAGCCTTTTGTCTGTCCACCTGCTCACGTGTGGATAGAAAGACACTAGAAAACAGGAAGGGCTTTGTAGTAATGGCCTTATTAAGACAAGGAAGCTAGATACTACCAGGGGGTCGGGAGGTCCAGCAGGTGCCAGACTGGGCTCCTAGGGGGTCACATCAGAACAGCTCCTGCTCTGCCCTTCCAGCTCTGAGCTTCGTGGCTGGCATTCTTCTGGATGCTGATTATGGGCTCCTTGTCCTTGGGGAGCAGGGTTGGGAAGAGTCATGGTGTTTGACACCTGACTTTGTAGACTGCTGTAGGCATGGCTGCTGGCATGGAGTTCACTTTCTCCTGGGCCCAAAGGAAGGCATACCTGGGGATCGATACCCACCACTAACCTCGCCTTGTCTGTTTTATTTTTCTTCTTCTACGTGTCCGTTGCTTCCTCCTGTTTCTCAGTGTCTCACTTTCTAAAAGGTAGGTCTGAAACCACACCTCGATGCTTGGCCTCTCTGCCCTGCCTTTCTTCCAGCCAGCTTTGGCTGCTCACTGTCTCCCAGGCCCACCTGGCTCTCCTGGGCTGGCTTCTGCTTTAGCCTGATTGCTGCTTTAGCCTGATTGATACAGGCACTGTCTGTCTGTCTGTTCCTCTTTCTGCCTCACTTGTGAGATCTCCTGGTGCTTGACTGGCTTTGCAGCCTTGCCTTGCTGGAGGCTTACTTCATTTGTCCTGGTTTCTTAAAGAAAAGAGCTTTTGTCCCCCATACCTCTAGGCTGGGCACTTTCCCATGTATCAGGTGGGAGGCGGGGCTTCTAGGAATAATTTCACCCCATTTCTGAGCGGCACCTAGAGCCAGGCTGTAAACCTGGCTGAGTAGGTAAGATATCCTTTCCAGGATATGTACCAAAACGAAACTGTGGGGCCTCAAGGTAAGGGGGTACAGTCAGGACTGTGATCACTGTGGCCTCTCACCCCTCCCCACTTTTCCCAGGCAGTTTGTGCACTTGGCTGTCCATGCAGAAAACTTCCGCTCAGAGATTGTCAGCGTGAAGGAGATGAGAGACATTTGGTCCTGGATCCCTGAGCGTTTTGCCCTCTGCCAACCCCTCCTGCTCTTCTCCTCTCTGCAGCATGGGTACAGCTTAACCAGGTGAGGCACTCCCAAGACTGCATGTCACACCCTGTTCTCCACTTCAGGAAGTGCCAGGGTGGCTGGAAATGAGCCTTTGAACCTGAGATTCTGATAAGGTCTTGCAGAATCAGGAGCCTCTTATCCTGGCCTTCGGTCGTTCCTGGGCTACATAGACTTTGGAAATCATTGCTGTATACACCACAGTTGAGGGCCCTGTGTGGGTATCATAAAGATACAAAAATCAAAGTCTCCATCTTAGGCGCTCAGAATTATTAGGGAGATGTCTTCTGGGCAGCTGGCCCTGGCCTCCCTGCTACCCTTACCCACTGTTTTCATCACAGTCCTGGACCAGTTACCCCTTTTTTGAGACTCTGTCTGTGTAAGCACCTGGTATTCTAGCAGGGACACATTGCCCTCCAAGCTAGATTGGTTGGGTCCAGTTAGTATTCAAGTCTCAAATGACAGCTCACAAATTCTGGACCACCCTTCCTCAACCCAAGTCTCCTGCCTGCAATCACATAAACATTTCAGCTTAGTTAAGAGTCACGTCTCACCAGGTGGTCGTGATGCACACCTTTAATCCTGGCACTCAGAGGCAGAGGCAGTTCTGAGTTTGAGGCCAACCTGGTCTACACAGAGAACCCCCATCCCCGGCTCCTCTGAGCCCCAGGGACGCCTGAGCATCACAGTGGCGAACCTCTCGCCTTCCTCAGTTCAGAGCTGAGCTTTCCCTTGCTTCTTTGGTTCCTGCTTCTCTGTAGTTTTCAGCACTCTGCTTTGCCTGAGGGAGAATTCACTGAGTCTTCTCTTTTGTCACACCATAGCAGCCTGGCCTGGCCCAAATGACATTGCAAGGACCTTAGCCATTGTGGAGAGAGGTGGTGGTAAAAGAGGGTAGAGAGGGTAGTCCCTAGGCCTCTCTACCCTGACCTTGGGACTGACAGTCGGTGGTGCTAATTGGAGGTGCCAGGGAGGGCATGCAGGATAGCACGTGTGGTCTCTGCCCCCAGGTTCTATTTCCAATGTGAAGGACACGAGCCCACCCTCCTGCTCATCAAGACCACGCAAAAGGAGGTGAGGAGCCTGGTTTACTGGGCTGATGCCAAGACCTGAGTATGGATATGGTTCCAACATGGAGTTTGCTCTCATGCTTGAGAGTCACAGGGGAAGACAAAATGACCCAGAGGGTACACTTCCTTAACTCAGTCCTCTCCATGACCTTTGCCCTCAGTGGTGGGAGAATACAACATACAATACCCCTAGGCTGGGACGTGGTCTCTCAGCATACGTGAACGAGAGGACATGCCTGATGACAGAAATCTCACCCCAGCCTTCCTCCCTAGGTTTGTGGCGCCTACCTATCAACAGACTGGAGCGAAAGAAATAAGTTTGGAGGCAAACTGAGCTTCTTCGGAACCGGAGAATGCTTTGTTTTTAGGGTGAGTTGGGCTAAGTGTGAAATCCCTCTGCCCCCTCCTTCCTTCCTTGGCTGTTCGTGTCTCTTCAGACATTCTGAGTGCTTAATCAGCCCTCCAAGACTGAGTGTAGGAGGCTGGAGAGATGGCTCAGAGGTTAAGAGCATTGCCTGCTCTTCCAAAGGTCCTGAGCTCAATTCCCAGCAACCACATGGTGGCTCACAACCATCTGTAATGAGGTCTGGTGCCCTCTTCTGGCATTCAGGCACACACAGAATATTGTATACATAATAAATAAATAAATATTAAAAAAAAAGACTGAGTGTAGGCCCAACATCTGTTCTGGACCAGGGAATTGTCACAGAAGCTGGCACAAGGGGCTCAGAAGTCACCAGGCTGTGTTCCTGGGCCCCAGCACAAGAGCCTTGTTTCATTTTTATTGTAGCAAATACCCTAAAACATAATCTTTTTTTAACTTCTGGGTTTTGCTGGTTAGGCTGTGAGCACCCCCAAAGCTAGCAGGACCTCATTTGCTAATGTGCCATTGCCACAGTCCTCACTTAGGGATTCAGCCACAGCAGAATCATGGCACGGAGATAGGCTGTGGCTTTGGCGCAGGAAGGCCCAGTGAGGTGCCACATGCCAGTTACTCTGACTGCCACCCATTCTTCTCCAGCTGCAACCAGAGGTGCAGCGTTACGAGTGGGTGGTCATCAAGCACCCAGAGTTGACCAGGCCGACATCCTTCAAGTCCTCAGAGACTGCAGCCGCTCCTTCCCTCCTCAGCCAGTCCGTCTCTTCAGACCCTGCTGACCGGCTGTCTCCTTTCCTGTCTACCCGGCACTTCAACCTGCCTTCCAAGACGGAGTCCATGTTCATGGCTGGGGGCAATGACTGCCTCATCATTGGTGGGCACCTCTTCCCTTCACTTCAGTCTGGGAGGAGGACATGGGGACTTGAGGGTAGCGGAAACTCCTGTGCCCAGTCCTTGTTGACTAGTAGTCAACAAAGTAGACATCTCTGTTAAAGGAAGAGGTCCTGGCTTGTTGGGGGTAGACCAGTCATGAAAGATGGGAGATGTGGGCTAGCAGACAAGCATTAGCCAGGACAGCCAGGCCCGGGTAAATTTGTGGTTTTAGAGGAACCCCTGTAGTTCAAGGATCTCTTTACTGAGATTGCTATTTAGAAGACCCTTGAAGGACAAAGATGATGGCGTATCTAGGTATGAGGTGAATGTTGGTGCAGAAAGACATCTGTTCCCTTGCATATCCCACAGGGGGAGGAGGTGGCCAAGCACTCTACATTGACGGGGATCTGAACCGAGGCCGCACCGGACACTGCGACACTTTCAACAACCAGCCCCTCTGCTCTGAGAACTTCCTCATCTCAGCTGTGGAGGCTTGGGGCTTCCAGGACCCTGACACCCAGTGATGGGTCTGCGTTGGTGGTGACTGAGCCTCGTTGTGGGGTGATGGGGTGGAGGCCAAGCTACCTCTTGAGGGAGCAGGGCATGAGTGAAACAACACTCCCATGAAGCAGGCAGGCTTGCTCTGCAGTGGGGGCGTTGGGAGCTGTGCAGTGGGATCGTCCTGCTTGGACTTGTTAGGCTAGGACCCCTGAACCCTCCTGTTTCTGAGCTCAAGGAGCTATTATGTCCCCAGCCCTGTCCAGTGTCTGCCCTCACCGAGGGTCCTGGGTTGCACAGAGGTGTCCTGTTCCCAAGATTGCCAGGGCTGCATTGCTCTGCCTCTGGACCTCAGCCCCTTGTAGGGAAAGGACAAATGAATCTTGCCAAATGTGGGTCTGTGGTGCCCCCTGCTGGTCCTCTGACCCCTGAGCTATGTTTGCTGCTGCAGGACAGGATAGGGGAGGGGGCAGGATGTGTGCAGAGCTCTGCAGCCCCTCCTGTCCTAGAAGGGACAAACTCGGGAAAGCTGTCTTTTGTCTTCGTGTTTCTGCAGAGCCTGAAGCTCTTGCTGCACCTCACTGCAAGTCCACACCTGAAGGTGGCCTCTGGAGAGACTTTCTTTGACCAACTTGGCTAGTCAGCTCCATTTCCAGGGTTCTCCTCAGAGCTGACTGGACTCTGAGGCTTTTTGCCCTCCTCCTGTCCATCCTTGTAGCCTCCTTGAACTCCTGTAGTCTTGGTGACTCTGTTCCGTTCCTCGTCACTGTAGTGACTGAGGCCCAGGATCACCCGAATCCTAGCATGGCATGCTTGTCTCAGTCCAGCCTTCTGCCTTCCCAGGCCTGTGGTTCCCTAGACCTGTTCATCTGATAAAGCAGTGTGACTTCTGATCTCTGCTGTCACTATGGCTAGCCACATGCCATGTTTTCTGTGTGCTACCCCTTCTCCCGTTACGGCCTTCCAGTCTCTGGATGTCTGTGCTTCTTGAGCCCTGTACTGACCTGGCACAGCAGATTTCCCCATGACCTCCCTCCCGCCCTGTGACCTCCCTCAGCTGGTCCTGAGGGTACCACAGATGAAGAGAGAAGAAGAAGCCCAAATGGCTGTGCCGGGGCCGCAGAAGTCTGGATCATAAGAACCGTTGCCTGGTTCCCACATGACTGCGTCTGGCGTGCCTCGGTCAGCATGCATCACACCTGTGCTTGTCTCCACACTGATATCACACTTGCTGTGGGAGCTGCATCCACCCCTGCCCCGTCTAATCATATCAGCTCTCAGCACGGCCACAGTGGCACAAGAGGCAGGGCAGGGAGGAGTTCCCTCAAGTTTTGGGCCACCTGGTAAACCCGCACAGAACTTGGACTCTGCACGGTGAACAGGTCTAACATGCTGGCTTCTAGGACAGGTCGACCTGACTCTAGAGGGAAGGAGTCCTGGGAGGAGCTGTTGCTGCTCACTCTGCAAAGTGGTAGCCCGTGCCGCCATTCCTCTGAGCCTGCTGTCATAGACCTGCACCTCCAACTTCAGTGTTCCTTTACGCCATCTTGATTTTTGTGATTGTTGTTTCTGGCAAGATCTTACTAGGTAGCCTGTTTGGTATGGAACTCACTATGTAGCCCAGGCTATCCTGGAAATGGCTATGTAGCCTAGGTTGGCCTCAAAATCATGACCTGCCTCAGCCTCCTAAGTGTCGCGGGCTCGTAGGCATTAAGCCCTTTCCTGTTGTGTTAACTCCTGGACGCTGAGTTTGGTCCCCAGCCAGAAGGCCCTAGGACTTTCCTAGGCTGTACCATCATGATGCTCACCCATGCGTTGCCACTGGGACTCGGAAGCCTTTCAGAAGCAGGTTAAGTTAACTGAGCAGTGTGTGCAGGGCCCTGAAAGATTCCTGACTGGGTAGTAGGTCCTTGTTTTGTGTCGTCCCACTGGCCTTCCAGGGGTCCAGTCCAAGAAGATTGGTCAGTGCTTAATCACGATTGCATCATAAGCAAAGCTCTTAGCTTTTACCCACAACATACTCAGTTCTTTAAATTTAGTATCTCCTTTTTCCTGACCTTTCTGCCAAAAGATGTGTCATTTTCTTTGTATTTTTGTTCTTATCACTCTTTATCTGATACTAAGTGTTTCCACTTAGTATTTAATAATGTTTTCTATTATTTATTAGCTTTTGATTTAAAAAAATGCTAGAATTTGATGGCATTGTATAAGGAGTTTTATCATCACTTAAACATTTGTTTTTAAAACAAATATTGAACTTAATATAAACCAGTTCATTAAAGTAACTTTGTTACTGTAAACCTTGTGCCTTTGGGGCCTCAGAAAATCAATCTGTACTCTGATTATGACAGGAGCCAGTTTCATGCAGCTCGGGCTAGCCGTAGACGAAGCTTTCCCTGAACTTGTCCTTGTGCCTCCTCGCTCACAGGTGTGTGCCGCTGTGCTGGTGACGCTCACAGGTGTGTGCCGCTGTGCTGGTGACGCTCACAGGTGTGTGCCGCTATGCTTGGTGACAACTCACTTTAAAAATATTTCATGAGACAGCAGTGGCTGTTCGCATTTTAAGAATTTCTCTTCTAATTATTGAACTAAATTACTGTTTTAGTTTTTCCTATTTTTGTGAGCTGCCACATGGGTGCTGGGGACTGAGCCAGGTCATCTGCAGGAGCAGCCAGTGCTCTTAGCTGCTGAGCCCTATAGTTTTTCTTATTTTTGTAAACTGCTTGCTTTTATTTTTTTTCCAGTTTTTTTTTAGAGCAGTTTGTTTTCGGACATTCTGGATTTCAGATTTTCAAGTTTCTCTTACTCATTTCCTGAGTGTGTAAAGCTTTTCTGGTCTCCTTAAGTATTTTGTATTTAATAATTTAGGTTTTGTACCTATTTTTTTAAGATGCTGAGGACTGAATCTAGGACCTTATACCTACTAGGCGAATTGTCTACCACTGAGCTATGTCCTTAGCCTTACATTTGTATGTTGAACTGGTTTTCAGTTTATGTCAGAATTGCTGAGGTGGAAGTTTTTGAAGATCCTCATCCAATTGTCCACTGTAAAAATCAAAAGAATTGAGCAAGCAACACACTTTCTATCCCAGCGCTCAGAAGGTCAAGGCAGGTGGATCTCTGTGAGCTTGAGCCCAGCCTGTTTTATGCTGCGAGTCCCAGACTAGCCAAGGCTACATAATGAGACCTTGTTTTAAAAAAACTGTGGGGCGGGGGGTGATTTGGAAAGAAGGTTCAGCGGTTGGAGCACTGGCTCTAACCGGGTTCAATTCCCAGCAGCCATATGGCAGCTCACAACTGTCTGTAACTCCAGTTCCCGAGGATCCATACCCTTTCCTGGCCTCTGTGGGTACTGTATTGATATATTTCATAGACATATATATAGACGAAACACTCATAAAATAAAAATGAAGGAAGGAAAAATAAACCAGAAATTAACTTGGGCACAGCCCTTGGCTAAACCACAGCCTTGTCTTTCCGCTCGGCGGGAATCCATGCAGTGCTTACGGACACCTGCTTTCTCACGCCCTCACGAAATCTAGACCGTTGTCAGACTCAAAGACGGTTGGGGCTTTAAATTATCTTTGCTTGTTTGCTTTGTTTATGTTTTTTAAGCCACCATTTAGGTTGTAGTTCTCTATAGCAGCTACTCCAAAGTCGCTAGCTCCTCGGTCGCTTCCCCGGGTTTATGTGCAGTTATTATATCAAGCATGAATGCCAAGCAGGTCTTCGAGTTCTTTCCCTACCATATCTACATCCGGCCAGAGAGCATGTGAAGTTAAAAGATAATTTCGGTATTAAGATTCTTCCCCGGGGGCTGGAGAGATGGCTCAGAGGTCTTGAGTTCAATTCCCAGTAACCACATGGTGTCTCACAACCATCAGTAATGAGATCTGGTGCCCTCTTCTGGCCTGCAGGCATACATGCAGGAAGAACCCTGTATACATAATTAATAAATAAGTCTTTTTTAAAAAAAAATAGATTCTTACCCGGGCCTGGTGTGTGGAAGGCCATCATGTGTGGAAGGGCCACCATGTGTGGAAGGTGGAAGCAGAAAGATCAGGTCATCCTTAGCTAAATACTTAGCTCAAGGCTAGCTTTGGCTACAATGTCTCAAAAAAAGAAAAGAAAAAAGGACCTTTTTATGACCTCCCTCATTACCTCAACTTCTGATTGTGCTGTTGGCATTAGGTGCAGTGTCGTGAGGAACATTACTACAGACAATGATTGTGTGCAGGCTCAGTCATTTTCTTGAACTGCATGGAATTTGTCAGCATTGTATTTAGGACGAAGAAAGTCGGTGGTTACATGGACACATTGACCTGTGACATGGCAAGAACCAAACCACCAAAACATTTCCATGTAGACTCGTATCTCCTGGTGTGGCACTTGGCTGCTCTGCAGCTGCTTTCTGGCCCTGTCTTCCCACGTGAGGAGACTGGAACACCTCTGCTGTGCATTAGACATGAAGAGCTGGACTCATCCATTAAGCTGCCAGCTGGGCAGGGTGGCACACGCCTTTAGTCCCGGCGCTCAGGAGACAGAAGCAGCTAGATCTCTGAGTTTGAGGTCAGCCAGGGCTACACAGAGAACCTGTCTTGGGGTGGGGAGAGCACTGTTGCTCTTCCAGAGAACCCAGGTTTGTTCTCCAACACCCAAACTGCGGTCACAGCTGCCCATTTCTCCAGTTCAAGGGGATCTTCCACCCTCTCTGGCCTCTGGGCACTGCGTGTAAACAGTGCACAGATACACATGCAGGCAAAATCATACACGTAAGATTAAAACAAAGCTTAAAGTTTGTAAGCTGAAGACTGTTGGGAAAGACGGTCTAAGCATGACTTTGCCTTTTAGATCTTGTGATGGGCTTTGACAGGTGGTCACCAGTTAGGAGTCGTGCACACCTGTAATCTCAGCACTCGGGAGGCTGAGGCAGGAAGACTGCAGGCATGAAGCTAGTCCGGCTTCACAGTTTCATGCCAGCCTAGCTTACATAGTGAGACCTTATCTTCGAAACCCAAAACAAAACCCAGTGTGGTTCCTGGCTGACCCTGCAGAGCATCTGAGTGAGTGTACCAAACATACTCCTGCTTACAGAGCAAAAGTGTGGATTTGAGTAAAATGCAGTTTTGTAATGTGAAAAGTGATTCTGTGATGTTTGGTTAGTGTTGGTGTAAGTCCTAAATAAAGCTGACAACTGGTGAAGCGGCATCGTTGTGTGTGCCATGAGAGTACAGGATGGGACGTCCCGGGCACCCTTTCCCAGGATACACTGGCCATCTCTTAGGAAAAGTCATACACTAAGGATCTATTGCCCTCTTCAAGTAGAGCTGAAATCTGCACCTGCCCATCGTAGCCATGACAAGGAGACCCCACAGAGACAGGTACGTATTCTGCTGCTTCCTTTGTTACTGCCAGCCATGGGAACCCACTTCCTGACCTTGCTTCTGCCTTCTGGCCCTCAGGGTTTATCATTTGGCATAACTGAAGGAAGGAGAAGAACCACTGTGAGGAATCACCAGATGTCTCCAATCGTCTGGTTCCTGTGAAACGTGAAACATAAAACTCAATGTCAGTAGTGAACTCACGGGCTGGAGAGATGGCTCGACAGTCAACACTGGCTGCTCTTCCAGAGGACCCGGGTTCAGTTCCCAGCACCCACATGGCAGCTCACAACTACCTGTGACTCCATTTCCAGTGGATCGGACACCCATACACTAATGCACATAAAATAAATCATTAAAAAGTAAAAGCAGCAGGGCCGTGGTGCATACCTTTAATTCCAGCACTTGGGAGGCAGAGGCGGGGCAGATCTCTGTGTGTTCAAGACCAGCCTGCTCTACAGTGTGAGTTCCAGGACAGTCAAAACTGTTACACAGAGAAACATTCTTTCAAAAAAAAAAATCAAACTCATGTTTCTCCTTCAAAATGAGACTGTTACTTGAACATTTGCATAAGTTAATATTAACATCTTTCCTAATGCCACCTACTTTTTTTTAAAAAAAAATGTCTGTGGTACTGAGAATTTGATGTGGCATCTTGTACATGCCACTGATTATATCCCCAAACTGTTTTTGTTTTGTTTTGTTTGTTTTTACATTTTTGCTTAAGACACAGTGTCCTAAGGTGCCCAAGCAGCCCTTCTACTCACTCTGTAGCCTAGACAGGACTTGAACTTGTGATCATCCTCCTTAGCCTCCCAAGGAGGTGAGATTACATGCCGGCACCACGAAGCCTAGCACAATGTTTTTCTTTGAAAGGTACAGAAATGCCCGCTCTCCTGTCTAGTTCCTTGATGTGAGGCTTCTGGGCATGGTTCTTGCCCTATGCCTGCAGCTGCTCTGTAACTCTGCTTGCTTCCCCATAAAATAGTGGTTGTCCTCTTCTTCCCTGGTTCTTTTCCCCATATTGACTGCAAGGGTGGATATGGTCTGTCATCTTCTCCTTTGCTGCCTCTTAACTCAAGAGTTTTCCTGTTGTATTGCAGGTTACTCCAGAGGATGCTGGGAGGCCTTCTCAAAGTGGGCCAGGCCCTTGTCTACTAGGCCAGGAGGTACTTGATCCGAGGGCTCCTCCAGCATAACTACAGTGAGCTCTGGTTTTCTGCAGTTCCTCAGATGGACCCAGAACCTGTTTCTGGGCTTTCAAGCCCCTTCCTGGTAGACTGGGCTCCCTGTTGTGAAGCTTTGTAGCTCCTAAGAAAGCTTTACTGTTCTTAGAGGAGGTGGTGGTGCAAGCCTTTAGTTTCAGAACTAGGGAGGCAGAGACAGATGGATCTCTGTGAGTCAAGGCCAGCCTGGTCTACAGAGTGAATTCCAGGACTCCAAAGCTACAAGAAACTTTATCTCTAAAAACAAAACCAAAAAAAGAAGACTTTACAGCTCTGTTGTCCGCTGTGGGCTGCCAGCCCTGAAAACTTTACAGTTCTGTTGTCCGCTGTGGGCTGCCAGCCCTGAAAACTTTACAGTTCTGTTGTCCACTGTGGGCTGCCAGCCTCCAGGGCGGAAGTACAGCTGACTGGCTGCACTGCTGATACAGGGCCATTCACAAGGTTTGTCCTACACCCCCAGAATTTCCTAAAATAGCTCTTTCCTCTTTCTGCTGGTGCTTAAAACAATCCCGCGACACAGACAGATGAACCACACTTGTAATCTCAGGATTTGAGAGTGAAAAGTTGATCTGGGGTTCAAGACCAGCCTAGGTCACATAAGACCCTCCCCCCACACAAACAATAAAAACCTGGATTGTGTCTTTGTCTTCTTCCTGTTCTAAAAACTTTATTTATTTATTTATTTATTTATTTATTTATTTATTTATTTTGAGACAATGTTTCTCTGTAGCTTTGGAATCTGTCCAGGAACTCGCTTTGTAGACCTTTGTAGACCAGGCTGACCCTGAACTCACTGAGATCCACCTATGTCTGCCTCTCAAGTGCTGGGATTAAAGGTGTTCGCCACCACAGCCCAGCTAACCTTTTCATATTTTAAGACTTATTTTGAAATAAGATTTTTGTTGGACCCCAGGGTGGAGCCCCAACCACTTCTCCCTCTGTACCTATGTCTATCAACCCCCTTTCTGACTTATTTTAGAGATTTACATGTTTACTCCCACAATAGGCTCCCAGATCACCTTTGCTTTCCGGATATTCAGCGTGATCATGTTACCAAGTGGGGAGACACAGTCAAAGGCATCTGACAAGCTGCTCCCACAGCTAAGCTTACAGTAAAACTAGCTTTAGTCTGTCCCCACTGCCCCCTGGTGGCAGAGTTGCCTCTCTGCCTGCCTGTTCATTCAGAGAAGATCCAGCCATGCCCCTGGCACCAACACTTGAAGTCTGGAAATTTTGCTAGAAGCAAGAGTTGCCGTGTTGGGACCGTTCTAGCTGCCTGCCTTGTAGATACATATTTATTCTTGCTCTTGAGGTCACCCTTGCTATTCAAACTGTCTAGGAGCCAAGCAGCAAGAGATAGATTCTGTGTTTATAGCATTTTATTTATTGATTTTTAAATTTATTTTTAGACAAGTTCTCCATATGTAGCTTTGGCTATCCTGGAACTGGCTATGTAGACCAGGCTGGCCTTGAACTCATAGAGATCCTCTTGCCTCTGCCTCCCAAGTGCTGGGGTTAAAGGAGTGTTCCACCGTGAGCAGGAGGGGTTTTATTTTGCTGGGTTTTTGTTTTGTTTTAATTTGTGTGAGTGTTTTTTTGCCTGCATGTTTGCACATGCACCACGAGGCCAGAAGATGGCATCTGATTCCCTAAACTGAAGCTGCGAGTTGTCCTGTGGACACTGGGCATGGAACCCAGTCCTCTGAAAAAGCAGCAAGTGCTGTTAACCTCTGAGCCATTTCTCCAGCCCCCATTTTTATTTCTCTGATCCTTATTCCATAAGGTATTTATTTCTCTTGCTCAGGATTAAGTCCAGGACACCATGCAAGCTACACACAAATTCTATCATCAAGCAACAACACCCTGCCCCCCAGTGGCCAGCCTTATTTAGTGTTTTTAGATTAAGATCTGCCTGTATAGCACAGGCTATCCTCAAGATTTCCAACTTCCTGTTCAACCCTTTAAATGCTGGGGTTATAGATGTGCACTACCATGCATAACTCAACTATTTTTGGGTTAAAAATTAGCTGCCTTTAATCATATTTCATTTCCCAAAATAGTGCCATTATCTGTGTGCTTTTGCTTCCACTGACCATGTCCAGGCCACACATGGTTCTATCTCACCAATGTACGAAAGCACAGTGCCATGGTGCCATCTCTTTATAATCTTGTCTGTCCCATGTCCTTGTGTTCCTCTCCCCCGCACCCAGGCCTCCATGGTGACTTGGAAGGAGGCTGTTGGCAAGATTCCTTCTGGGACACATGGTTCTTGATGTTCCAGAAAGGCTATTGCTTCTTCCCCTCCTTCTCACCCTCTTCTTCTTCCCCCTCTTCTTCCTTCCCCTCCTTCCAGCCCTCTTCCTCTTCCTCCTCCTTCTGACCCTCCTCTTCCTTCCCCTCACCCTC